AGGAGTGGACAATTCAAAGGAAAGCTAAAAAAAAGGAAAAAGAAGAAATACAACTAAGTGCAGAATATAACCACATGGCTACATGAGCTTGGAAATCATGCAAAGGATCATGTATTACACAAAAGAGGGCTGGAAAATAGAAGGTTCTGCTTCCCTCAGAGAAACCTCTTGAGGAAATTCACACTAGAAGGATGAGAAGCAATCAGAATAACACTCTTCCAATGCCACTTTATCGAAAATAAATTCACTGAGCGTTGTCAAAAGTAAGGGATGGCTGTGGTGTTAATGTTACATCAGTCTTCCCATGGTAGCTGAGTTTTATTCAGTTCTGGTCTTTGTGCTTTCCTGCTGTAAATAAGGTGTTGTTCTAGATGTCTCTCAATATTGCCTTAATTAGGCAGCTTCCAAACTTTCTGGTTCTTACAYTGCTCATAAATCATGAGCATGGCCATGTTCAAGCCCTTCTTGTAGGCTCTAACATCCAGTGGTGATCACCTCTGCCTTTTAACGTAACTTTCAGAGGCTTTGATATGACCACCAGAGGAGGGTCCTGCAACACCTTGGCAAAAGAGACCCTTGCTGCTGACAATTTGATGAATATTCATGGAAAGTTCTCAAGCTTTCCTCAGACTCAAGTAATGCCATCAGGAGGATGGCAGCTGGTGGCAACCCMCTGTAGGGAAAATGAACAGGGATCAGGTGAAAGAGAGCTGGGATCAACGCAGCACAGGGGCAGATTGATATCAGCTATTACAGGTGAACTATCATGGAAGGAAGAAATTTATTTTATAGGTGAGTAGCCCAAGTTTGTTACCCTGGAAAGTGGGTAAAGGAGGATGAGCTATTAACATCCATTTCTAGCTCTGCAGCAGGCTGTGGCTGGCTTCCCATGAGATGGRCAGACTGGCCCATTCAGGCAGTACAGCCAAGGCCCCTTTGCTGCAGAAACAGGGCACCGAGCCACACTGGAGGCCAGCAAAGACTGATCTGGCCCAAGAACTGGAACAAACCCCAGGACTGTGGGCAAGGCTGCCCACACTGCCTGTTCACTGACCTGCACCAGCATGGCCAGCAGCAGGGTGTTGGAGCAAAGTCCTTTTGGCAACAKACTAGAAATTCAGCAGCAGCTTACAGGAGAGGTGGCCACTGGAAATGACTCTTTCTTTTGCTCCTCATAGGCATGGGAACAGGGCTGCCAACAGGGTGGACATGGCAGTACTTACCCAAGCCTACAGTTAGTGGCCACTGTCTGGACAGCTGTCATGGCAAGTTTTATGGCAGGTCTCTCCAGAGGAGTCTGGACTGTAATTTTGGAAGAGACTTGAAACCAAAAGCTGTATTCAGATGCAGTAAGCACTGTTCACACRGTGTAACCAATACTGTATCTCAGTTTTACTGATGATTAAATATGTCTGCATTAATCCCTATCTACTGGTTTTCCTTTTAAACTATTAAGACACTAATACTACTATATAAACAATTAGGACACTAAGATCAGATTGAAATGTAAGATCYGTTTACTACCTAATTAAATCTGATTTTATTTGTAGTAATACAAATAATATCTGCATCTTGGAAACAAGCAGTTGTATTTCCTATTTTTCTCTGCAGTTATATCCTTATCTTTAAAACATTTTGTTTTGTAAACAACAGACAGGAATAGTATGAGATCTTGTCTCAGCAATTGAAGCTATATTCAGACTTCTATAATCACCCTTTACTATGCACTGATACAGATTTTGATTGAGGGGATATGATGTTTGTAGTTAACTTTTCTTTCTAAAAAGGAAAATCAAAAGCAAATGCAAGAAACATTTCTGTTTTGTAGAAGTACACAGTGGGACTTCATGCTACTCCATAAGCTTCAGTACAACATGGACCGGCCACAGGCACTGCTCATTCCATGAAATCACCTGGCAATTTTCTGTCCCCACTAGCCCCTAGTTTGAAAGGRCACAATTGCATCTTTCTATTTATGGCACAATTACATTTTTTCCACTGCTGCATGCCTTTGAAATTATATTGGTAAGTAATATCAGAAAATCTGGTTTTGTGGTTGCAAGATGCTCYGGAATGTGGAAAATGGCACTTCTGTGACCGCTGCCTTTGTGTGATATTGGCAATTCCAGTAATATACTTTTAACTACACAAAAATACTTYATTAGTACTAAGGACTTAGTATGCAAATTTCATCCATTAAATTTTTAGGTAGGGCTTAAAAAAAMCCCCAAATTCCACATCAAGACAGCTTGGAGTAAAGCTGACTAGTAAATGACAARCTCATTTCTTCAGTGATATCAGTCACAGTGAGGATCTTCCATCATTTTCTCCTTGGGTTGCTAAAAAAATGCCTGCATTGTATTCGTCAGGAGCATTACTTGTTTAAGCAGATCAAGAACAAGCAACTGTGGCTTCACGTGGAAAGTATGTACCATGATGGTATTGGAAAAACTAGTGCATGTTAAAGTTTAAACACATGGCCAATGTAAAGGAAGGTTTTCACAATGTTTTAAATTACAGAGCCTTTTTGATGTTTTGTATTGGGAAACATCTCCATTGTGGTAACRCAGAGGTGTTGGACACTTATGGAGGTCTTGGGCAGTCTGTTAAAACTACAACTATGTCATTATCTAGACTCAGAAACAGATCAAACATCCAATTTAGGGCAAATTTACAGCTCTTATGGTATAGAATCTTGTTAAAAGGGTAAGTTCAGCACAAAGCTTTCCTGYTATCCACGTGAAACTATTGACTCTTAACTTTTCCATGTTGGACTATGTTCTACTCACAGATAAAAGTTTCTGGATGATTCTGCATCTTACACATCTCTGTTTTTTGTGAAAACAGATGTGATATTCAAGTAGCTGGAAGACGTCTACCAAGCCACATGTTAAAATCTCCATTTCACACCCAGGTTCAAGGAGAAATCTCATGCACACTAAGTGCTGCTTTATTCCAAGCATCTCTCCATTWAAATGTTTGGGAAAGAGCAATCTATCCTTGCTGAAGGGACAAAGATCATCAGAGAGAGAAGGGAAAATGCTGAGGGATGTGCAACCCCATGGAGCATTTCTTTGAATATGTTAAGAAAATAAGTTATACTGTTCCCTAGCAAACTAGAAAACTGCTAGTTCCTTATGACCTATTTATAATAGAAGAGGTTTGTGTAGCCTTTCTAGAGAAGAAGTTTCTACCTGAACAATGAACTATAACAGGTATCAGTCCATAGGTAACTCCCTGTAAGTGATGTGCTGTAAGCTGCACTCTCGCTCAGTGCATGGCCCTGAGCATGCTGAAGGGAGCAACTCCTTTCTCCTTCTGAAATCGCACAAAAGAACAGAAGGAAATCTTTGGCTGTTGACTTGGTACATWCGAAGCCTTACCAAATCATRWGARMWYTYYYCMSRGG